TAGTACTTCATTAGTGCTAGTAGCTGTGTTGTGCTCTGCTGTTTCCACTACTTTCTTTCCTTGAACCACCTGCTTTGAACATCCAGAGTTACTGTTGAGTTGAGAGAGATAGGTTTAAGTACAGAATAAATACATTAAGCCTCACTGAGATTTTTTTTGGAATATTTTTGAAGCTAAAGAAGTGGAACATTATGCCACTAGATTTAAGAAACATTAACTAGGTTTTTATCAGGGGTCACAGAATGGATGCTGAATTAGCACAGAAAGGTTGCTGGTTGTCTATCACTGCTCTGAAGTGTAATTTAGTTAACTATTGCTTGTTACATGGTAAGTAAGGCAGCTAATTTGGATAATGCATGTGGCTGGAAGATAGAAGACTGTGAATTCTAATTCTGCCTTAAGCATGAAGCCAGCAATGGCAAACCATTTCCAAACATATTACAGACAAAATTGTATGGAATTGTCCATGCAATAGCTAGGAATGAAGGCTGACTCAGTAGTGCGTGTGCACATGAATGAGAGCCAATTATGATTTCATATTACATCTGAATTCAGCCAGCAAATGGTCAAAAGATCAGCCAGTATGTTTCCATCTGGGGCATTTGACCCTAGATCTAGCTTGTACTCGCTAGCTTTGGACTAGAGGTAATCATTATATCATACTCCCTCTCCATGAGGCTGTCAGACTATTTCAGCAGATAAATCAAAATGCTGGAAAGTGTTATCTGAAAATTGCCAGTTTAGCAGAGAATCTTCACAGAGATTTCTTTGGGTTTGTTGAAGATAATACTATTGGACACGTGGTTAGTAAAAGTTAGACTTCAAGCCTATATGAATAAATAAGATCAGAAGCATAAGGCAGGGGTCTTCAAACCTGGCCACTTTAAGACTTGTGGACTTCAATTCCCATGCTGGCTGAGGAATTCTGGGAGTTGAAGTCTACAAGTCTTAAAGCGGCCAAGTTTAGAGACCCCTGGCATAAGGGATATGGAAGATGTTTCGTTCCTTAGCTAACTGAAATACCACACATTGCCCAAGTAGTAAGACTTTTCTGGAACGCCTCCTTTTCCTCATACAAAAATTGTATGCCAATTCTACCTTGAAAGTGAGGTGTAATCCCCAAGGGACTTTAACCGGCTCAGTAAGGGTACAAAAAGGGGTATGGCAGGGTTGCATCCTGTCTCCCTCCCTTTTTAACTTCTATATCAACCCCCTGATCGATCTCTTACAGAACCCTGATCTGCATCCGCCCAACCTAGCACATCGTAAAATCCCGATTCTTCTGTATGCCGACGATGCGGTCATTATTTCGCAAACTCCTGTAGGACTGAAGAGAGCAATTAGGGCAACACTTGGCTACTGCAGACAGAACAAGTTGGTCCTTAACTTTGATAAATCAAAATTTTAGTTTTTGCTAAAAGACCCAGCCAATACTCCTGGAAAATAGAAGGACATAGTTTGGAACAGGTTAGAACCTTTAGATACCTTGGGGTGGTTTTCCACTTGCAAGGGACATGGAAGGCACACCTGGATCACACATTGCAAGCAGCAATAGGTCCTTAAATGCAATCAAACATTACTTTTACACAGGCGGAGGTCAATTAGTACCTGCTGCCTTAAAACTTTTCGAGGCCAAAACATTGGCGCAAATTCTATATGGGGCACAAACAGGAATCCTTGCAAAGAAAAACTTGCTGGAAACCATACAAACCAAATTCCTGCGAGCCATCTTAGCTGCACCCAAAGGANTTATGTAGGCTTTCTCCTCCAAGACTCAAATCCTTCTATCACGCATGCAGTGGCAAAATACTGTGTTGCGGCAATGTCCACAAGAAAAAAATTGGTTACAGACCTATAGTCGTCAATTTGTGCCAATTTTCGGGAGATATCTCTAATAATGTTTGGAACATTATATTTACTCACACATTAATCGGCTATCCACTCACGTGAACTAGGGAGTGACCCTAACATTTTGAGAACATGTATTTTCTTAACAGGGATGTTATTATTTACTATTAATGTTAGTACTATTTTTACTATTATTATTATTATTTAATATATTGTAAAAAGTGATGGCTATTGCTGGTCTGTGACCGTAATAAAGTTTTTTTATTATTATTATTATTATTATTATTATTATTATTATTATTATTATTATTATTATTATTATTATTATTATTAAGACTTTTCTGGAATTTGTTTCTTTGTGGAAGTGTCACCTAGGATAACTTTTCTATTTACCATTTCTCTTTGGAGGCAGTCTATGGTCTGTCATTTTCCCTCGTCTCAATTACATTATGTATATTAACATGTCATAAGATCGTTAAGTGTAGAACAACTAATTGGCAGTGTGACTTTTTCCTATTTTTAACTAGTTTTAAACAGAGCTTATCATTTGTAAATAATAATCTTGATCATTATATTTGTTCTAATTAAACAATGAGATATATCAAGAGTACAGTAATCATGAGATAATCACATCGCTGGCATAATTATCTGGTACAGGGCACAGCCAAGTATCTCTAATGCTATTGAGTATGATTTTCTTGTGATAACTGCACCCGGTAGGTTGTCTAATTTTAATCATAAAATCAAATTATTTTTATTAATATGAACAAGGGTGGTAATGGGGGAAGCTGCCCTTTTCTTCTGATGGAAGATGAGAAAGCTGATGGCCTCCTATGCGTAGCAGGAATTTCAGGTGGGTTGATAGAGTGTGGATTAATCATTAACTGCAGGTGCTCTCTTGTTCTCATCCACGTGACTTTGCCACGATATGAATAACTCTGGACTTAATATGTCTGGCTCTGCATGAAGTGGAAAAAAGAGGGTCAGATCAGCTGCACTGAGGAGCAGTGCTGCATACAAGGATAGCTAGGACAAAATCTCTTTTATTAATATAAAGTTTGAGTTGGTATTACTTGTGTTGTCATTGCAGTAGTTTCCAATCAATAATACCCTTCTCAATGATATATACTGTATATGAGGTTGCACAGCCTTCTGCCATTAGGGCGGTCAGGCTCATCTTTGAAACTTTGGTTTACCTTTGTTTTGTTTTATTTTGCCAGGGCCAGTTCTATTCTACAGCTTGTTTAGATGCTGTCTCTTTAATTTACAAAAGATGGAACAATGAAGCATCGGTTTCTCTACCTTCTGCCTTACCCCTTACAGCCTGGTTAGGTCAATTAGTTGCTATATTAATGAGGTACTGCAGTTTGATGCCAATTTACCTAAGCAGATTGGTGTTCCTATTTAATAAGCTAAGAGGAAACCAAAATTCTCCATTTTAGATGGAATAGCTAATTGTAACTGGAGGCAAACAGCTTTCTTCTTAATATGCACAAGAAGAAAATATTTAGCTTCCTTGTTCGACCACAACTCCTAATGGTATGGCAAGTTAAGAGTGAACATCCTGATTGGCTAATATGTAATAGATAACCCCCAAGAATGACACTGGTATCTGCAAAACCCAGGACTGTGTCTTTACTTTGAGCAGCCCAGACACATTTTCCTTCAAATTCCGCAGTGCAGTGTAAGATAAAGTAGCCGCCCCAGTCCTATTGTGTGGCATGTGTCAGAACCAGAAGGGTATGCCTACCAATCTGTTCTCAACCAACTCACTCAACTAAACAGAAGTTCTTAGGTGCAATGAAAGAAGCTACCCCATTGTAACTAATAGTTGGCTTTGGGGCATGACATGAGGAATGAGAAAGCCATCTTGTCCCACAGACGTTACTTGATTGGGGATGACAGGAGCCTTAGATTGGCGAAAGCAAGTTTGGCTTAAGGGAGGTTTAAGTTATTCCTCTGTAACTCTGCCACCAAGCAATGGAACTATCTATGATATCAGGACACATAATTAAGTGCCTAATGAAATACCCAGTTAGTTGCAGTTGCTATGCTTCAAGACAAGCAAAATTTTAATATCCCTTCAAAAAGCTCTGAAGCAGAACAATATTCAGTGATTGTGCCTACTCTTTCATCATATTCATAATCATTACTCTAGTGGTTAATCTTTTGCCTTTTTCAAGTAGCTTGCAAAGGGACCATGAAATGTGGTCATTTTGTCGACAGCTTTATTTATATCTCACTTATGTCAAGGAGAAACTAGACAGAGTACTGATGTGTACACAGTAGGCAGGAAATATTTGGCATAGATATTTGTGGGATACTTCCAAATATACTCCAGGCAAGATATCAATTAGATCCAGATCTGGTCTGCTCTGTCCACAGCCTTAACCTGATTAAATAAGGAATAATGATAGTTTTCACATATCTTATTTTCATTTTCTTGTCTCACTAAAAATTGATTCTTAGAAAGAGCATCTTTCTACGTCTATGTTACTTAGAAGATCAGATCAGGAACCCATTCACACCAGCTTGAAAATCTTCCCATTCAGTCCCATTGATTAATTTTTTTTTAAATAATAATAATAATAATAATAATAATAATAATAATAATAATAATAATAATAATAATAATAATAATAATAATAATAATAATAATAATTCCAAAGAGATTAATCCTGGCTTCTGCAAGTCTTTTGCTAGCAATACTTTTTTTTCTTACACCCTTATCAAGCATCATATCAAAAGCATCTGCTCTGGTTCCTTTAATGACTCTATTTGCCCAAAGGAAGAAGAAATTGAAAAAGGATGGAACGAGATTAAAACAGCACAGAAACACGGAGGGAAGAGAGACTATAAGAAAGAGTAGAGAAGGATATACATAGTAATGTAGGGTGGGTGGGTTGTAACTCATCCTGAACCCCTTAAACTTTGTAGAACCTCTGAAATATTATAGATGACTGTGTCCCTTTCATCTGGGCAACCTTCCCATCTGAGAAGGATTAGGAGAGTGAATGTTAATTACAACCTTATAATTTTGGTCTTTAGCAACTGTCTACAGTAAGAGGCCTGAACGTAAAGGCGAATGGGCTTCACATCTGTGCACATCTTTACTAACGGTGCTGTCTCTTGTTTTCTTTTTTGCTCATTAGTGTAACAGCGACTATGTGCCTGTGTGTGGTTCCAGTGGCGATACCTATCAGAATGAGTGCTATTTGAGACAAGCTGCCTGCAAGCAGCAAAGTGAGATACTTGTGGCGTCAGAAGGATCATGTGCCACTGGTAGGTACAGCCGGCTTTGTGCTACATATTGTTATCCAGGAATCGGTTGACAAGCAAGCCCAACCAGTACTGTGTATTTTCATGAGTACTCCTTTGTGCTCCTGTCAGATTCATCCTAGATCAATAATTGAAAGCGTGCTTTTCATGCGGCAACCCAATCAGTTCTGCTTGCCTTGACATCCTCTTTCCTTACCTGGGAAACCGTTGCCATTTCTTCAAGTATTCATTTTATTTATTATGCAATGTTTTGCCCAATGTGCACAATTAAAGATGGCGGAATGTATGATTAACAAAGTTTCCCAAAATGCTTTGTTTGATCAATATTTTAAAAAGGGGGTTAGATCTGATTGTGGACAAATTTGTGTAAGATATTTTGCCACCTTAAAGGTCAACTACATTAAGCAGTGATTTATATATTGAGTTTAGGTTCTATATGTCTAGGTTCATGTAGCACAATCATACATTAATCCTGATGCAACAACCTTACAATTTACAATATCAAAGAAACCATTTTATGTCTTAGTGTGATGTATAAATCCATCTAAACAATATTTATTAATGCAGAAGCTGCCTCTCCTAGTGGAGGAATAGGTTCAAGGAAGGCTGTGCTACTCAACATTTGGTTTGTTTCTGGCAGTTTTAGGTGTTAAACTAGCTCTGAGACAGTTAAAATTAGAGTAAGATCAGTATAGGTAATAAAACTAAAATATTTTAAAGCCATAGTTGGTGAGTTAATGCCACTATTGTATGGAGAATACATTCTGATTTCTTGTCATGGCAATCTAGAACCGAGGCTGGTAGCCAGAAATGACTCTGGGACTTTTGTAGGAAGGAAAAGAACTAATGATTGGGGCAAAATGTGTTTTTCCAGCTAGACCCGGGGTGTCAAACTGCCGGCCCATGGGCCAGATGTGTCACACAGAAGCCACACCCACCCCAACTCCGGCAAGGGGAAAAAAGTCACACTACGTCGCGACACATCATGTGACTGCGGTGAGTTTGACACCCCTGAGCTAGAGGAAGGATAGGGGAGTGCTTTGGAGCCAGCAGTCGTTGTTTGAGGATATGTTTTTAGCCTCTGAACCACAGAGATAGGAGGGAATTCAGCGACAGTGTCACAAGGGAGCAGGGCAGATGTATTTGGATAAGGATTGGATAGTTGGGCTTCTCCTATCTGATAATTTGGAGGTGTCAAATAGAATAAAAACTTGGCCCTTTATGGTTTGCATATTGGTAATGCAAATGTAGGATTTGGAGGGTTGAGAAGAAAGGAGACTGGCTATGAATTTCCTGTAAAGGTATGTATTTAGTGCTAATGGGAGACACAATGTGCTCCTTTTGATGTGATTGGATTAATGGGAGATCATCCACTCAGGGTGCCTACAATCATATGTTTTGTTTCTTTAAGGCATTGTGCTCACTTTTTATAGTGAGGTCTGGAAGTGGGACTAATCTTTTAAACCATATTATTGCAAATCACAATAACAGAAAGAGGAATATCCCCTGATGGAAATGATGTGCCAAGTCATCTTTTAGAGTGTTTTTTTTCCCTCTCCATGTGTCTTTAATACAACCCTGAGATTTCTCACCAGCTCCTCATCCAAATGTTTGACCCTGCTAAGCTAAAAACAAAAACGTTGTCTTGGAAATCTCCCAAACGGCCAGAATGGTTTTGGCCTTTTGACTAGATTATTCTCTTTCATATTCTCAACAGAGGGAAGATCTCACAGAAAAGTGGAGGGAATTGCCAACCAGTATGTGAGTCATAAGTAAATCGTAGGCTTGAAAAAGTAAAAGGGGTCTCATGTCTTGAGCAACAGCATGGTTTCTATTATAGGAATAGCTTATATTTTGCCTCAGAATATGGGCTACTTGGCCACTATGATGCCATAAAGAATATGTGAGAAGGACCGGAATCTCCTTCCAAGTCCATTCAAATGTGCAACAACTACCTATTGTTCTCCCTATGGAAGGAGGTAGGTTTTTGACATCCCCTGGGTCTAGCAATCTGTAAAAATCTTTTCCTGAGAGACCTGATCCATGGGGGGGAGGTGGCAGGGAGGCTGAAGACCCCCTCTTTTTTTAAAAAATAGCTGTTTCCTGCACAACCAAGTGTTTCAGATCATTGCTTGGAAAGCTTGCAAGGAGAGCAAATGGGAGCAAACACAGATTCTTTAACTGCAGTCCTCCAATCCTGTGGAAAGAACTGGCAGTTTAAGAATCATTCTCTCCCTTATCTTGCCAATCCCCTCTAAGCAGATTGAGGATTTTCCGCTAATTCTGGCAGGGGAACTGGGGAGCGATGATCTTTTGGTAGAGGGGAACACTCAGTTTGAAAGAACTGGATTCTCCCACTGCTAAAAGCAAAATGGCCCTGGAATACAGTGTCAGGGAAGAGGAAAAGGGAGGGGGGGACAGCTCAGCAACTTCAGGGGGTGAATGAGAGTTGGATCAAACCCAGCTCTTGACTAAGTCAACGTAAATGAGGCATGGCAGATTGTTCAGTTTGTACTGGGAGAAAAGAGAAAATGCTGCTTTAACATCAGAACAGCTCAGATTGAATGTAAACTGCCTCTGTGGTCAGCAGGGAATGAGACAAAAGCCTCCTTGAGGATCAAGTTTCAGAAATGGTAATCTATATTTCTTCCAGCTGAGGTTGGGGATATGAAGGCTAGCTCAGGAGCCAGTAGGAGAGAAGGGGTAAAAAATATGAAATCTTACTTCTCTTGTGAGATAAAATTAATGATTAAGCAGGTATTTCATAGACTTCCCATTCAGAAGGATCTGCACATAAGGATGATAGTCTCATTTGGAATCACAGCTGCAAGGGACTTTTCATCGCAATTGGCAGTAATGTGATAAAATAGTCCTATTTCTATGTCTTACTCTGAAAAACAAGCGCAGTGCATTTATACACACACACACATATACATACAAACATACATACATATATATAATTGTTTGTTGGCTTGCTCTGTTGTTGTTGTTTTTTGCTAGATGCATGATGGATGCTCTATTGTGTTTGCCAAAACATAGCTATGATTTGAGAAATGTTGCAGTTCCATTTTAAAAGGAACATTTTTAAAAAACCGTATCAGAACGACAGTTTGCCCTGGATTAACTGATTATAAATAAATTGGGATTTTGATTCCCAGCATTAGGACAGAATTCCAATGTTGTATCTTGCAGGTTGTTCCTTTACCTTCCTAATCATCTGCAATGCTGAAAAGCGTTTCTGACAAGAATTTCTCCTAAAGCAAGGCACTGATCTTTGTTGTTTGCTTTCTTTTCTTTCTTTTAGATTCATTTAAAAAAAAACTGATTAAAATTCAAAATTTCTTTTAAAACTGTATTTTTAATGCTCATCAGATGTTGAATGTGCATTTGAAATTTAATTGCAGGACTTTTTAACAAAGAGTTTTTCTTAATTAGTTATCTAGGCATATGCAAGTAGTCCTTGATTAATGACCATTTGTTTAGCAACTGTTTGAAGTTACGATGACACTGAACAAGGAGTCTTATGGCCAGTTCTCTCAAAATTGTGGCTATTGCAGCATCCCATGGTCATGTGATTGCGCTTCAGGAACTTGGCTACTGGCTCACAGTGCCCCAGGGTCATGTGATCACCCTTTTCAACCTTCACTGCCAGCTTCTGAGAAGCAAAGTCAATGGGGAAGCAGGAGGTTGCAAATTGAGATAATGTGATACAGTACCTAGCAACCATCTGGAATTCACCTAATGACCACAGCTGGAACTCCCAAAACTGCCATCCCAAATCAATGCAGTCATGTGATATTACACTTGTCACTTAGTGATGCAGTTGCGATTCAATTACTGTTGTTCACCAAGGACTATCTGTAATTGTCATATGCTTGAAGTCTCTGTTGTAACAGTTCCAATTTGTTAGGATCACTCCTGGCTTTTTGATACTGTCCCTAGTAGATCAGTTCCTTTATCATTGCATTAGAGGTCTGCTTGCTAAAGCTGTCATTCCTCCCAGTTTAGCTCTTGGACTAGTGTGTGTAGATCAGTGTTTTTCAGAGTTAGCAATTTTAAGATATGTAGACTTCAACTCTCAGAATTCCCAGCCAGCAGCTTCCTCACATCTTAAAGTTGTCAAGTTTTCAAAACACTGGTCTAGATTAGGTGTGGGCAAAAAACAGCCTTGGATCTCACGTGGTCCTCCGGAGAATTATAGCCCCCTCACAAATCTTTCCATCAATTCTGAGAAAAAACAAACACCTTTCAGAAAGAAATATATTCTATGCTACAACTAATTCACCAAACAATTGTTGAATGCAAAGAGGAGATAAAAATAAATCATAATGAGACTAAAAACAATTTAGACAATATAAACAAGCAAATCTCCAAATTAAATCTACAACTAGAAAGCTCCCAGATAACAACTACAAAATATGAACAAACAATCCAGAAATCAGAAGTCGAAACAGAGGAAATGGATTTAGAAATGGAAGAGATAAAAGAAGGGAAATACAAATGACTGTATACAAACAAAATACTGCAAGACTTAGCTATAACAATGAAAATGCAAAAGGCCTTTTACCCTTCAGGTCTGCAAAATATATTTGATGGCAAGGAAAAAGATTTTTAAAAAGGGAATATAGAGCTGTTAAGGGAAATGTCACAACTTGGGAGACAGGGATTGAAAAGAGAAAGGGAGGAATATAAATGGGCGGAATTCCCCCCCAAAAAATACGCTACCTAAATTGTCTTCCTCGTGCCAAGCAATTTTTACAAAAATAGAAAGAAAATTCTTGGGCGATCTAATTGTCCTGGCTTGGAAAGTGACTTGGCAAAGAAAGAAAGCGAGAGTCAGATTTAAAAAACAGAAGATTTGACCTTTTAGAAGGGGCATTATACATTTAAATATTTCTTTGAATAAGATTGAAAGAACAGAAGACCCTTAGATATAATTAGACCTTTATAATGCAAGATATAATTTAGAATTAAGATAGCATTTTTTTCTCTTTTTTTTGATATGGGAAATATGAAGATAAGAGGATTGATTTGAATCAAACTTTCAGCTATATAAATGTAATTAATATTGAGAAAATCATAACTGATAAAGACATTTCAAATACTAATGAGAAATCAAACTTTAACAAGAACACGAAAAACAGGATATTGATTAATGAATTGACATTATTGATTTATGAATTGATATTATTATTTGTATGATATTAGTAAAATATGATGAAGATGCTTATACCTAACGCTGCATACATTAACAGTACCAAAAATTGTAATGGTGTAATGAAGGGAAAATGGAAAAAATATGGAGAAGAAAGGAGGATTAGGGGAAAAATACTGGGCTGTGTGGTATTGAACAGATTTATATTGAAGAAGTTAATGTTACATATCTGAACCAGACAACATGTTGTTTACTAAGCACTAAAGACTAATTTTTAAAAATTAATAAAACCTTTATATATAAAAGATTCTGGACAGTGGTTCCACTGCTCCACTGCTCTTTTGCTGTTAGGACAAGGCTTTCCAGCAGGCCAGTTCAAGGTTTCATGGAGTCCTGGAATTGCCTCCATCTTCAGCGCACGCTATAGAGCAGAACAGGTTGCAATATTTTGTATCATACAGGTTTGGGGGATAATACCTAATTGCATCTTGGTGAGCTGGACCAAACTGTGTAGCATTTCACCTGATCATCTTTTTTTACTGACCACTGCCTATCACAGACCTGAGCTTTTTATTATTTATATTATGGGAATACAGAACTCTGGTCAGTGCGTCAAAGATCATGCACGGATGGCCTTATGACTCAGGAGTCCTCATTTTGGTTGTTTTGAAAAACTGATATTTAAAAGGGCAACATAGTCATCAAATATCATTGAGAAGAAAATGTAATGCTCATGCGAAAACTAACTTGGTGGGTTGTGCAACACCGCCTCCTACCAAACACCTCCCTTCGACCAGTCCGCTCCCACAGAGAGGGCCTCCTTAGAGTGCCGTCGGCCAGACAATGCCGGCTGGCGACCCCCAGGGGGAGAGCCTTCTCTGTGGCAGCTCCTGCCCTCTGGAATGACCTACCCCCCGACCTACGTACAGTTGCGGACCAGCGCCTTTTTCGCCGAGCCCTGAAGGCACATCTATTCCGTGCGGTCGGCCTGGCGTAGTTTGATTATGTTTCAGTGGGGTTTTTTTGTATGGGTGTGTTTTTAGAACAGGCCTGTTATTTAATTCGATTTTAGAACAGAAACTATTTATTTATTATCGTGGTTTTTAGTATCGCCTGTTCACCGCCCTGAGTCCCGTAAGGGAGATAGGGCGGTATATAAATTTAATAAATAAACAAATAAATAAACAGAATTAAGAGCAGCAATAGTAGTAGCATCTGTAAGGCACTTGAAAAGCACATAGCAGCATCAAAAAGAGTATGGATAAATCAAAATACACAGAGTACAATGTATATATCAATTTGCAGAGGATTAACATCAGAAGCATAATTTGCTAGCAGACTTTTAATGAAGTAGAATCCAGCTTTGCAAACATACGAACTGTTCTTATGCAGATGTATTTTATTTCCTCCTCTCTTCTTACAGATGCAGGCTCTGGATCAGGTGATGGAGGTAGGGATGTTTTCTTAAAACTTTCTCCCCCCCCCCCTTCCCTGCAGACTTGTTACTGTGGTTTTTCTAGATTTGTTATTCTATCTTGTATTACAATTGCTAAGATTGTATTTTCCTCTGGGAAGTGACATTTTGCATTTTACTCAAACAAAAATTCTTAGCTGTTCTAAAATAGAAATTCAGAAAGATGTTTTATTTCTGGTAGAATTTTGTTTTATTCTCTATTTAACTGGCACTCTATCTCCATCTGCTGTTACTATCGTTGTTACATGTACCTGTTTATTTATGTTAGCATTGAATTCCCCCAAATGTCACAGTTGTTTTGGATCTCTCCTCCAGAGATCCCTATCCATTCTGAATATGAATTTCAGAACTGAAGCGTTGGAAAGAAAATTTATACCAAATTAAATAGACAAATGAAGGCTTTAAAAATGACAGCTGAGCATGTTTATTTCAGCATAATGCCAACTTGATTTGCTTATCATTTAGGTCTGCCCTTTTTGCACATAGTAAGTGCAAGCTATCCAGATAAATATTAGGCTAGAAATAAATCCTATAAATAGTTATTAAAGCAACAAGCCACATTTACTGTATATATGGGCTTTACCTTTGAGTGAATATGCATTATTATTATTCTTGTGCCATATCCGTTATCGAACGTTGGCGATCATGTCGGCGATCCTATTTTTATCAGCAGCTGCACGAAAAAGTGTTGCTGAGTTTTGTCCAAACCAGTCCCTTAGATTTTGAAGCCATGATGTTCTTCTGCCTGCCTCGTTTGCCTTCAATCTTTCCCTGGAGGATTAAATGGAGTATGCCGTATTTTTCTGGGTGTTGCATCACATGTCCAAAATATTCTAACTTTCATTTTTTAATTGTTTTGATGATTTCCCTTGGCTTTCCCAGGCGGCTTATCACCTCCTCATTTCTGATCTTGTCAACCCAGCTTATACGTATGCTTCTAGTCTCTTCAGGTGGCCTTCTGTCAGAGACCAACTCTCTACTCTATAGAGCAGGATAGAAAAAATATAACATCTGACAAGCCTGATTTTCAATCTGCATAGAAACCCCATGGATTCCAACAGAACTGAAATTTCATGAGATTTAAATTAATTTCCAATTTAATCATGATCTATTTGGTCTGACTGTACCCAGAGGGTATCTTTATTACTGAAGTCACTTTTTCAGGAATGGTCTAAAAATTGAGAATAGCTCTTTTATATTACGGTTCAGATTTGTTTCCACTCTACAATTTCTCATTCCAGTTTGTAACTTACTGTTTTAGAGAGTCTTTAATAGCACATTTAGAGATACAGTTTTGTTTGTAGATTCCCCCTATTATTTGATAATCATATTGTGGGTGCTGAAATTAACAGGTTGCACAGAATGCATACATATGAGAATGATCACATCTCTCCCCTTTCCCCGTCACACACGTGTGCATAAATGTATTCCTACAGTTTGATGTAATCTTGATTTTTATTATTTGTTTTGTTTTGTTTTTGACATCCAAATGAATTTTACTGTGAAGTTTCATAATTGCCAGTGGGAGTTGGTGTCTCATTCCTAATGAAGAGTTTTAATATGTTTGTATGTTCTTTGTTTAATTTAGAATCATAGGACTCAAAGAGGAGATATTTGGAAGGAAGGAATTCCTATGAGTTTTGTTTATTTTATTATAATGTTAACGCACATTATCAAATGATATTTGGTAAAAAGAGTATAGCCGGTAGACTTTTGCAAGATTACCAAAAGGGAATGAATTGGTCTGTACTGACAGTTGATTCTCTTAAAAAGCAATGATTAGAAACTAATCAAGGAGAGAAGCAAGCTAGAACTAAGGGAGAAATTTCCTGACAGTGAGAACAATTAATCAGTGGAACAACTTGCCTTCAGAAGTGCTCCATCACTGGAGGTTTTTTACAAAGAGATTGGGTAACCATTTGTCTGAAATGGTATAGGATAGGGTCTCCTACTTGAGCAGGAGGTTGGATTATAGGTCCAAGGTCCCTTCCAACTCTGTTATTCTATTATTCTGTCAAAAATATGTGTTGCTTGTGTGTTGATGCCAAAGTTGTCTTAAAAAACCTGCCATTTGATTGCTCAAGAGGAGTTTTCAAGGTGACTGAGCTTTGGGGTTTTAGCCTGATGTTTAAACGTTACACATTTTAACACATTTTGCAATCTTTGAGAAGGATATGTGTCCTTTTGGCATCATTTCTATGCAGGACCTACTGTATGTTGATTCTCCAGTTTCTTTTCTCAGTCTTGGTAGTCATTTGTTTCTCTACAGTATCCACTATACTGACCTGGATGATAACATTTATCATCTTAACGTAAGTGCTGATAACATAGTGTTTTGTTTTGTTTTGTTTACAGAAAATGGTTTTCTTCTTTTTCAGAACTCCATTACTGTATAGCTTTCTATTCATTTGTTCATAGTCTCAGATTTCAGAGTTAATATTAACATGTCTCAAAACCATATCATTTGTGATCTTTTATTGTCTGGTTATCAATGTTTTTTTTTGTATTTATGCTTTTTAAATGGGTCTATTCTCATGTTTCCAAAGGAAATAAATGATTGTGAGCTATTTCCATTTTTATTGTGACTCAAAGCATCTCATTACCCAAATAGTTTCATTCATCCAAACCGGCTGGCAGATATCAAAAAAGATTGCTAGATAAAAGGGACTGTTATTAAGAATAGGGTTACTTAGAACTCAGATGCCCAGGAAACAAATAATTGGACAGATGCATATAGCTAAATTTGACTAAGAAGGGGATTGTGTCACCAAACTACAACATTACCGATAAAACATCCTCCCATTTTCAGCCTTCACAATGTATTGTCCTCTAGATATATGGGACTATAATTCTTAACATCAGCTCTTGCAGGCACCAGATTGGGGAAAATTGGTCTAGAATAAGATAGAAGCAATTTCAATGTCTATAAATATTTTGATATAATCACTAGTCAGATACAATGGAATACTGTTTTTGTTTATTTTTCCTTTTATAAATTGTAATCATTCTTTTCCATCTCCCTCTTTCTCTCTTTCCTTTTCTATGATTATGGGCATTTAATTTTAGAACAATGGCAAGTAGTGGTAATATCAACATTAAATGTTTTGACTTTTGTAGAGACTTTTAGTTATTTGTTAAAACTATATAATGAACCTAGTTCTATACATTATTTAATCAGTGAAATTATGAATTTTAAAGTTTATGATAATTGCACATCTTTATTGAAATGTATTCTTCATTCACTATCTTTTTCCATCTTTTCTTCTTTTTATTCCTTAAAGTGATTTAAACAAATTATTAGTAAAAAGGAGATGTATGTAACACAATAATAAATACACTTAAGACCAAAAGAGTACGTGGGTTGGAGAAGAAAGCTATATTCATATTTATTTCCTGGCACTAGATTTCATGATTGCCATCAACTTAGTTTAGAACAGGCCACCTCTTTTTATCTGCACTGAGATGGCTTGGTAGAACAAGCCTGCCATTCCAGTTTCTTCCTTCAGGTTCCTTAATTAGGAACCTGAATATAAAATGGTGGCCTTACTTATCATCCAATACAGTGCCTTCTTTATCTGCTTGAAGGTGCTCTGTTTGCTGTGATCTTGCACTATAAATCTGGCTCTTGATTTGCCCTTGGGAAACCAGATGCAAAGGGAACATAGATGAATGTTGTGTAAAACCATTTCTCAGCTGTGTTGGTCTCTGTATTTTGTTCACCTCTCAGCAATGGTCCATGTGCCAGCTTGGAAACCCTGTGAGCTCTTTCAAGCAAATAAGCAAAATGCGGCTATTGGGTTAGGACTATGGGGCAAAACCCCAGAGCTCAACCTAAAAATGAATGGAAGGGACCACAGTGTAGAAAGGTGTTTTTGCTACATTTGAAGTGAAATATAAAGCTATTGTCTTGTAGTGGGGAGAGTCAAGAAAATCATATGAAGTGGAATAATCTGCAGCAATTTATGAATAAGAATGTTAAGTCCAGAATCTAACCTTTCCTAACTGCAGCACTAGAAGCACTGCCCATAATATTTGATAACTGGAATTGGAGAAAAGAGCTGGGAAAATGATCAAACTCTTGGTTATAATTACCTTTAGTCTGCATCAATATCTTCACCTTTTTGTAGCTCTGGAACGTGGCCAAAATATATCTTCAGAAAGGAGAGGGGATTATTTATGTTAGCTTCTTACAGGAGAGCTACATTAAACTGGCAGCTATATTTTGCAGTAGAAGACACCAAACAAAAATGGGGAACAGATTAATGCTGTTCTTAAATATAGAGATGGAAAAGAATCAGCCATTCTCCTAGATAATAAATGCCGGACTGCAGCAACTAAATAAATGATTTCCAAACAATTTCAAATAAAAAGCACAGGCTGACAAAAACAAGTAGAATAGGACCTCAGGGATTGATTCGGCAACTTGTAGGAAAGAAGAACTATGCAATAGGCAGGATCAGATCATTGCTTTCCCTTTTAAAATCTGCAAAGCTGCCTGGCATGTATAAAATATTCATGATTGAATAGGCAACCAATTCAGTTCCAGGTGCAGAAGCCTGCTAATGTATCAGAAGGAGGGAAATAATCCCTGTCATTTAAACACTCTCACAGCATCCTCCTTTAACTGGTATAATGCTATGCAATAAAAACCATAATTTTGGTTGTCATTAATGAAAGTGTTGGAGGAAGAGGAGATTACTGTTTGATGGAAGATGCTGGATACTTTCTTTTGCATTTTCAATGATGTGTGCCACTGGAATTTTGATCAAGCCACAATATTAACTCAGTGATATATAAAGCAGATAGAAATTGGGAAAGAATGTGGGTTTGCCCAGGTGATCAGATCTGCTTCTCTAGGCTCTGAGGATACAATGTCAACAATAGGAAGGTTGAGTTTATATGGCTTGCTATTTTCCTCTATAAAAGTATAAAGGAGGATCATCTATGGCAGGGGTGTCAAACTTGCAACGTCACGT